TAGTTAGAAAAGCACTGTATACTTTTTATAAAATGGAATAATTTCCAATGTTAATAATGATGGTATTGTACTGATATTTAAGAAGGATACACTCTACAGTAGATATATATAGATGAGTGACATTTTGTTCTTACTTCTTTGACTTAAAGTAACTATTGTTGTTGTTGAACGGAGTTTCCCCCTGACTCCCTGATGCTTGATCATTAGAGAATGGATTGTCAATATACCGATTGTATTGTATAATTAAAAGCGAGGAGGATTAATCAGCTTTTCTGTTCTTTTGTAATTTTAGCTGGATAATCAAATACTATAGTAGTACAGAGAATATTCTCACAAAACAGTTTTTATTATCAAATTAACTGAAATATACACTGACATTTCGTTTAAAAATTTCGTTTCATAAAGTTTCTAGATAAGATCAGGTACTGTCGAAACACTAAGTAGTGGTATAAGAACCGCTTCTCTGTTATAAAAAATGTGAATATTACTGTCAAACATTTCATTACAATTTTCCTTTCAACTGCAACTGAAAATCAGTATTAAAAATCTACCATTTGGAATGATAGCTTTAGGTTAAGTTTGTAGGATGATAAGCCCCCATCCATTTCATTTTAAAGTCAAAAGGCTAGTTTATGTTGAGTTCCTTGAGGAATAGAGCTCAGTCTATCTTTTTTTTTTTAAGTTTAGAGCCATCTGTGCAAATTTCAAAACATTTAAATTTCACAAAACCTTATTGCCATCTGTACAGTTTTGCTTTCCAAAGGTGTAAGTAAAGAAGTTACGATCAACCAGAACAGTTATGATACCAATTTAATAAATCGATAAAGTTTTTATCTTTAATAACTGGAATTGATGTGATATGATTCTTTGTCCTTTGTTATTAGTAGCTTACAGACATACTGTTCCACAAACGGTTCCATAAGCATTTTCAAATAATTTGTATGACAGAACAATATTATGGCTAAGAGACGTTTAGGTATTAATAATATATTTAAAGATCAAATCATGAATCAAATGGGTCAATATTTTAAACAGATCTACATAGTATCAGCAAAATACACAACAATATTAGATGCTTAAAAATAAGTTCAATACTATAATGTATATTAGGTACTCGACAATAAATTATATATTAGAAGGATTCGAACAGTAATGAAGAAACAACAATAAAAATTTTAATTAATTTATTGAATTTTATTAATTTAAATTTTTGTTGTTGTTTCATTATTGTTTGAATTCTTTTAACTTATAAATAGTTTGTTTTCAACATAAGACACGTCATATACAGTATAAATTAACATTTAATAAATTATATATTTTAAGTGTTATTTTGCATCTTTAGTATAGGGATCTCTGTCGTTACTAACCATTAAGTTCCTTAATGCTTCTGGCTCTTCTCATTATAGAGTACTCTTTTTATCTTATTATGTGATCACATCACCATGTAGTGATTGTTTTTCTTGCAGCATATAAGTGATCAGTTGAAAATCTATGACAGTTCCTTATTAAATATGTCTCATTGTATCCAGAACTGGTCTTGTATGATATACAGCGTAAATATTTTTCTGTCGTGTAGGATATCAAATAATTTATGCAATTTAAACTAAGCTGTGTTTATTCTGTCAGTTATGTCTATATCGTTTAACTCACTTGAAATTGAATTGAGGTTTTGGAATTTCAGAATTGCTGTTATTGGATAATTGTCCATTACGGAACTAACCCGTGATTTCATAGCAGTTTCAATGCTTGGTAGAAATATATATTCAGTGTTTTTTTATATTTAGTGATTCGTTATTTAATTTCCGTTTTAAAGTTTAAAGTACAAATTGGTGTTCAATCAACAAAATTTTCTAAATACAGAAATTATTCAAATGTGTTTTGTTCTGATCTATGTTTGGATATTTTTTCTACCTTTGTTTACTGAAATAACTTGTGTGACCTTATACCATGTTTTCATTCATCTAATTTAGGCCGTTTTGATCATTAAGGTCGCTAATACCACGTTTCCACTGCTTAGTTAGTAAGTGTGACTTAAAAAGTAAATTACATTACCTATAGAAAGAGCTTCCGTGCTTTTTAATGTAGTTGAACATAAATTAAAGGAAATTAGATCAAAAATGTCGAATGCAACACTTAAAAATAAATTTCCCATAAGGGAAATTACCAAAATTTAAAATATTCGTTATGTGTTTTATTTGCAAAATGTAAATAAACATGTTTAGCTGTATGTACTAGTATGTACTAGAAGTATGTACTAGAAGTATGTACTAGTATATATAAAAGTTTTTTGTTTTCATAAATTAAATATGGAATAGATATATAAAGGAAAGTATGTTAGTATTATTTGTTATTTTTTAATAATTATTAATGTTTTGTGATGCTTTATTCATGTTGTGAACAATTTCACAAGTATTATATATTAAATTATTTGGATTTTCCGCGTTTTTTATGCTGAATTAACTAATTTCTGCTAATAATGCAAAATTATTATCTGCTACAATTGTTTTCTCGTAAACAAAGAAAAGCTCTCCTAAAACTTTTACAAAACTTTCTGACATATAAAAGCTTTTTCCCATGGAATAAGTACTTATGTCAATGGAACCGAAAAAATTTTAAAGTTAGTTAAAAAACATACTAAGTAAGCATGATTAGCCCCCATCCTTTTCATTTTAAAGTCAAAAGGATAGTATTAAAAGGATATGGTATTAAAGAGCTTTTATATTTGTGTCATACATGTTTTAGGTTAACGTAATGCTTTGCTCCAGTATATCTCTTACTTTGAGACAAACCTAAACTTTGCCAAACGGTTTTCAAACGCAACTGTTGTTGTTTAATTCATTACAACTCTACACTGTTTAAGTATTATCTCAATAAAACTGCATAATTGAGTATTCAGTATCGTTTTCTATATCTTTTAGGTGTATTATGCAAACAGTGCAGTCTGAAAGCTTTCGTGCATTTGTGTCTTTTTTGTTTTTGTATATAAGGATAAAGCAACTATATGTATACATGTTCTGTATTATGTTCATTTTCACTATATTATGTATATGGTGGCTTTCATCATCTAGACCTTTGACATTTTCCATACTTTCGCTAGTATCTGGTCTGGTTCATAAAGCTCCCTGTTTTTTATTTTTAATTTGTTGAGTTAATTAAAATAGATTTCTGACTTTTTTGTATTTAAAGCACTTATAAAAATCAAAAACGATTTTCATGGCATTAAACACTTTCTATTTTAAATTTCATTTTTGATAAGATATTGATAAATTTTTTTTTGTATATTTACTTAGCTTTTATACGTACGTAAATATTGTAAATATTGATACTGAAAAACAATTGCTGAAAAGGTTCCGTCTAAAAGTATGCAACATTTTTTGATTTGAAATCTTTTATTAAAATGCTGAGAATAGTGAGTAAATACTTTTTCTAAATTGCTTTTCTTTCCTGAAAATGCCAATTCCATCTCTAGAAGAAGGAACCCAATGCTTTTATAAACGACATATTGCTGTATAAGTAAGCAACTATCATGCTGATAAATCTGTACAACTGTTAAAGTTGCACGACAATGTATTGACAAGCAAGCAATCGATAGATAATCTACAGAATATCGCTTGACAACAAAAGTCTGCCTAACGATAAGGTTTCATAGATTACATCAGACATATTAGTGATATATTAGTTATATGCTAACAAAGTTTATGTTTCACCATCAACGATCTTTGTTAAGATAATAACTTTTAGTCAGATTTCCTTTAAAAATATTTGTAAACATCATTAATCTTTCAAACCTTTGATAATGTGAGTAGTATGAGATCAG